GGAGGCGCACTACGCAGAGATTACTCGGGAGATCTCGAGGCTCGTGGCTATTTGCCCGCAGAGGCGCAGGACACAAGGCTGACTCGAGCGATCTCGAGGCTCGTGGCTGGGCGCCTAGATTGCGCCAGCGGCAGAGAGGTCCTTGGCCGATCTGGCCAAGGAGCCCCTCTTGCGCTGGATTTCGAACCACTGTCCCATGCAAGCACGGCATCCTTTGGAGCCGTCCTTGCATGGGAGAAACTTGGTGCCAAACTGGGCGGCGGCGCTAGCCTCCTCGTAGGTGGCGTACTTCGGCTGGGCCGCCGTGGGGTCCTTGCAAGGCTTGGACTTGTGCTTGTGTTTGGCCTTGGCCTTGGCCATCGCCACGTCGTTGCCGCTCGCCTCCTTGAGTTTACGGATGAACTCGTTCCCTCGAGCGACCACGGCGTAGAGAGCTGCTGGCATTTGGCGGCCCTCGCCGCGGATCTCGCGCAAAACGCGCTCGATCCAGCGACTTGCCCAGAGGCCGCAACTCCAACCGTCAACTTGGTACATTATGTTGCTCGGTGCTGGGCAATGCTCGCCAGGGCCAATGGCGCCGAGCTTGCGGAGGATCCGCGTGGCGGCCTTGGGAGGCCACGTGCGAACCCTAATTACCCGCGATTTCTGAGGAGCCCGGGCAAAGTGAACCCCACCTTCCCCGGCCTGGGCGCCCCCGACGACTTCGAGTTCAAGAAACGTGCGTTGCCAAGGTCGCGTGCGCTCTGAGGCTGCCGAGCCTCTGACGCAGGGGATCGTCACTCTCCTGAAGCCACGGCGTGGCCTCGCGCGGCAGCCCGCCGACGTCCCTGCAGAAACTCGCACACGCGCGCCCCGTCTCCCCGCTCGCCCACCGCCCACCGTCGCCCTCCGCACGCCGACCGCCCACACGCAAGAGCGGCCCCAGGCAGGGGTGACCTTTCGCGCGCGGCTTTTCGGGGAGCGCGGGGAGGCCGCATCGGGGCGCGCGGGCCGCTGCTATCGCGGCGCATTCGGCCGTCGGGGGAACCCGCGCGCCCGCAACACAGAGGCCACTCTTGCTGGAGGTCACCGCCCCCCAGAAGTCTCGAGCCAGACCCCGGGATCGGCTCCTCATCCCCGGGCCCTCTTCTTCACGGCCCCGGGGGGGCCCAGCGATGGCCTCCGAGGCCCAAAACGGTGGAACATAAACCAAAAGAGGTCTCGAGCCGTTCTCCAGGACTGGCGTCTCATCCCCAGTCTGCCAGTCGTTTTGTTCGCGGTCCCGAGGCCCAGCGAGGGCCTCCCAAGGGCCCTGCACGGCGCCCAGGGCCCTCGTCGTGCCCTTGCCCATGACCCGAGAAGGGCCTGGGCCCTCGCCCTCCGCACGCCAAACTGGAGGCATCCTAGATGTATGAGGCTCCAACCGACTTTCGCCTTGACCACCAGAAAGGATTTCGAGCACCAGGCAAGCACCGAAACTGGAGGGTTTTCGCGGGTCGGGCCCTGGGAGGCGATGCTCGGTCGACAGTGCTCCGATGCTTTTCTGGGTGCTCGGAATGGGTTCTGGGATGTGGTCCTTAAGTGCGATGGGAACAACATAATCCTAGGTAGGTTCCGGACAGATGGGGTCGGAGGATCGCGCAACATCGCCGATAACATTGGCGATGCATCGGCGATGCATCGGCGAATGCACCAGCCCCGCCGGCGTGGAGAAAATCGGGATCCACGTCGAGCCGCATCGCCAGTCTTCTCGGCGATGCGGCGCGATCCTCCGACCCCACCTGCTCGCACCCCATCTACAGAAGGAGCTCGGCCACAAGAAAACTTCCACAAGAGGCCCAACCCTGAGACCCCAGGAAGCTCACTGCGCTCTGGTGTGGGAACGTCACGCTCTTCCCATAGCAAGACCACACCGAGCCCCCAACTGACTGATAACGAAAACCATCGAACACCATCGAAAACTATCGTCACGCTGTCCATAGCGGCCTGGACTAGCTGATCGCCCCGCCCCCCCCCCCCTGGGGCTCGATCTCGCCTCTTTTGACGACGACTCTTGACGACCGCATGTGGGGAAGCCAAAAGGTACCGATACCGCTACTCCCCAGACCTCTCCTGGGGTGCGTCCTGGCCAGAATCTCGAGGCGAATCCAGCGGTGGCGACGAGGGCCTTCCAGGAGGCCCAAACAGGGGAAAACGGTCGAAGGGTAGAGCTGCGGGTACCCTTGCCTCCTCTGAGCATGGCTCCCTGCAGGGCTCTGCGCACCTCCCCAGGGACCAGCTCCGCCGCCGTCCCCGCGCCGCCTCCAATGAGGGCCCCCCCCGCGGGGGCCCGGCGTGACGGGCCCCCCTCTCGCAGCAGACCACTGCCAAACGCCTGCCACAGGTTTGGAGGCAACTACTGGGAGGTTTTCGTCGGAAAGATTGAGGAGGATAAAGCTCCATTTGGAAGCTGTTACGCCAGAGTAGGCCTCGGATTAAGGAGGGCTGAGCCAGATTAAGCGGGGTTAAGCGGGATTCAGCGGGATTGAACCGGATTCAGCCGGGTTTCGGACCAGGGCAAAATCAGAATTTTACCTCCCAGGAGCTGCATCCGAACACAGGGTGGCTTCCCTGGAACCCCTCGAGCCAGGAAGAGATCACAACGGAAGGCCTCTCGCCATCTTCAGACTCTCGGGGCCCTTGGCGGGCCTCGGGACCGTCCAAACGAAAAACTGGTCCTGAGGAAGGAGTCGAGGCCTCTGTGGGTCGCCGCTGTGGACACATCATGACGTTGGGGTCAGGGTCTTCTACGACGCGAGGAGTCCACCAAGACCCCCGACGTCATGATTTTTGTCTCGACCCCTCCCCCAGGAACGGTTTCTCATCCTGAACCGTTGTTTGATGGCCCCGAGGCCCGGTCAGGGCCCCCAGAGGCCGAAGATCCGGAAAATCCTCCCGCCGTGGTTTTTGCTCGCTGCCCGAGGGGGTCCGGGTCTTCTGCGACGCGCGGGGGCCAGGGCTCGTCGCACACCACCGTGGGCGGCACGCAGCACCCGTGCGGCGCCGCGACGCCTCGGGGGCCCGGGCCCCTGGGGGCCCGCGGATCCCCGCCGCTCTGGTGCCTTCGGCTCGCGGATCCCCGCGGGGGCCCTTCGGCCGCGAGCCCCCCCGAGCGCGGCGCGCCACCGTGCGACCGCACGTGGTGCCTTGCCGATCTCAACCACTTTTGGCTGGCGACGCGTTTCGGACTCTGGGCTCGGCGGTGGACAAGCCTCCCTTTAGTAAAACTCCCCTTAGTGGCAACGGCCTGGGACCGAAACCGACGGACTTGGACCCGCAAAAACGACGGCCGCGACGCCCTCTCGCGAACTGAAAACGGCCAATTCCTCGATCGGCGTGTCAGGGTAGGAGGTCTATCCACCTCCGATAGGTCCTCTTCTGGGCCAAAAGGCTGCGGTGTCCCACGCGCATGCCGTGCAGCGCGCGAGCAAGGCTGCAAGGGGTCAAGAGTGCGGGGGGAAAAAAACCCGGCTGCCCACCCACCCTACCTAGGCCAACTATGCCTATGTAGCAATCCGCGGGATCGCGCCCCGGCATCCGGACCGCAGGAGAGCCCAGAATCGGAATCCATAGGTCGGATCGGCGAGCGAACGGAATCGGATCGGCGGAGATCGGCGGCCGAGTCGGAAAGAGTCGAGTCGGCAGAAATCGGCAGGCTACTTCGCCTCCAATAAGAACTCGGCACCCAAATCGGAATCCCAAGTCGAATCGAATCGGAATCGGAAGCAATCGGAGTCGAATCGAATCGAATCGGAGGAACCGAATCGAGCCCTGGGACCGTGAGGGCGCGGATATGTATACAGTCAACCCGTATAAGAAGGACGCGCGATAAGGTTGCATGGGCCTTGGAAGGCCATGTCGACACTCTGCAAAAGCCAGCGACAGCGGCCAAAGATGGGATGGGCCCCAGGGCAGGATGCAAGGGTAACCTTGGAAAATTGCTCATCCTTCCCTGAGATCCGACGCCTCGACAATTTGAAACATCGCGAGAAATCCCGGCTGGAGCCCTGGACCCCATCTTCCTGCGACATTTTCCGAGCCCGATCGATCTGAGAGGATCCCAGGAGCCCGAATATGGGCGCAAATCGCTCCTCGAACAAAAACTGAGTCGCCAAGATCTCAGGGTTGCTGGGGAATCCAAGCGCTGCCGATACTGCTGCTCCCCGGACCTCTCCCGGCGTGCGTCTGCGCCCTGATCAGAATCTCCGGGCGAGTCCAGCGGTGGAGACGAGGGCCTCCCAGCCCCCCAGGAGGCCCAACAAAAGGGTGAAAACGACCCAAAGATCTGATGTCGTGGCTGGTTCCACACATGTATATATATATATATATATATATATATATATATATATATGTGTATCTATATATATACATATATATATATACATGTATATTTGAAAAGGGGGTCTCCGGAAATCTCGACCCATTCCCCAAGACCGGTTTTTCATCCCGAGCCGTTTTTGACGGACCCGGGGCTCTGCGAGGGCCTCTCGAGGCCGAAAACGGCGAAAACCTCGGGCTTGATGTTTTCAATACTCTGGATCTCTGGGGAGGGAAGTGTAGCGGATGTACACCTGCTCCTCCCCCGAGTAATTGCCCACCCCTTAACGCTACCCCTTTAGGTCGGGCATGCCCCCCTACACGCAGGTTTTAGAGAACTGAATTTAAATAGTTTCAGAAGGTTCTAGAATGGTACAAAAAGTCATCGAAAAATCATGGCTAGTCGATCTTTTGACTATTGACTCATCCTCCTGTAGAGAGACATGCCGGACTTGAATTCCCCCTAACGTTAGGTCGGGCCTGTCCTCCTACGGGGACTTTGGACGAACAAAAACATAGTTCAATCAGATCTCCAAACGAAAAAAAGAATCGTCCCCATACTATGTTTGGCTATTTGTGAATATTCCTCCTGTAGAGGGGCAGGCCCGACTTAAGCCTGGCGCTGCCCCCAGGGAGGGCCAGCCCGGAGCGGCACGCCCAGGAGCCTCGCCCGCGCCGCTGCCGAGGCCCAGGCGAGAGGACGCGTGGGGCCTCGGGGGCGGCGGGGCGGCACGAGGCTGAGGAGGACGAGGAGGAGGAGGAGGAGGAGGAGGAGGAGGAGGAGGAGGAGGAGGAGGATGGAGAAGGAGGAGGAGGAGGAGGAGGAGGAGGATGAGGAGGAGGAGGAGCGCCGCCGCGTGCTGGCGGCGAGCAGGCGGGAGGACGCGTGGGGCCTCGGGGGCGGCGGGGCGGCGCGAGGAAGGGATCGTCCTTTACAGTGTGTTTCGTTATCGTTGCGCTTTCGTTCTCCCTTTGTCTGTTCTCATTCGTGTCTTCGTTCTTCCTCGTTTGTCCTCGGTGCGCCCTTGCTGCAGAGCGAGGTCGAGACGAAAGCGGCCCAGGAGATCGCCAGAACACCGTTTGGGCCGGCCCCTGGCACGAGGCTGGCGCCGCCGCGTGCTGGCGGCCAGCCCAAGCACGGGCAAGACTTGTACAGTCGTCGTCGTCGTCGTCGTCGTCGTCGTCGTCGTCGTCGTCGTCGTCGTCGTCGTCGTAGCCGCCGCCGCCGCCGCCGCCGCCGCCGTCGTCGTGGTCGCATCGTCGTCGTCGTCGTCGTCGTCGTCGTCGTCGTCGTCGTCGTCGTCGTCGTCGTCGTCGTCGTCGTCGTCGTGGTCGCATCGTCGTCGTCGTCGTCGTCGTCGTCGTCGTCGTCGTGGCGTAGTGCCTTGGACTCCCTTGCAAGAGGCGCCACGAACGAGGCGTCCTGGATGGATAGAGCTCGAGCCTCCGGTGGCCAGGTCTTTATATCCACACCCAGTGCGCCTCGGGCTTCTGGGGAAGGGAGCAGGAAGGAGGAGAGGGAGCAGGAGGGAGGAGAAGGAGGGGCAGGACTATGAGGGAGGCGGATGCGGAGGGAAGGTGAGGCGGGCGGGAGAAGGAGGGATCAGCAGGGGGGGGGGTCGACGAGGAGGAGGACAAGGGAAAAGGAGTGAAGAGGAGAAGGATGAGCAGTAACAAAGAGGATGAGGTGGTGGACGGGCCGCCGTCGTTCCTCGTCGTTGGCGGCATCACTCGCCTCCGCTGCCTCTCCCTGCTGCTGGTCAACCTCCCAAACTTACTCCAAACTCCTCCATCCCTGTTCCTCCTCCAGCGGTGCCCAAATGGCTCCGAGCGGCCGCCGGAGAGTCGTCGTCGTCGTCGTCGTCGCCGCCGCCGCCGCCGCCCTCGTCGTCGTCGTCGACTTTCACGTCGCCAGCCTGTCTAGGTCGTTTCCAAGGCCACTCGAGGATCTACTGACCGGGGTCAATGCAAATCCTGGTGAGCCGGGCTTTGCCAGATCGAGCAAGATCCTGCAGGATCCTGCGCGCCAGCCTGGGTCAATGCAACCCTGGCTGCGCAGGATCCTGCAAGATCCAGCCATTGAACCCCCCTCGTCGTCGTCGTCGTCGTCGTCGTCGTCGTCGTCGTCGTCGTCGTGGCCGCCGCCGCCGCGGCCGCCGCCGCCGCTGCCATCGTCGTCGTCGTCGTCGTCGCCGTCGTCCAAATTTTTTGGGGGAAACTAGAAGGTACGATACCGCTACTCTCTGGACCTTCCCTGGGGTGCGTTCTGACAAAGAAAATTTAAGTGATGCCGACGGTGGCGACGAGAGCCTCCCAAGAGGGCGCACAAAGGGAGACCGGACGACGGGTAGCGGTATGGGAGCCTTTTTCCTCCCCAGGGATCCGATGTCGTGATTTTTTCATTGCGCGGTCCCTGGAAGTCTCTTCTGACGGTCCCGAGGCCCAGCGAGGGGCCCTAGGGTCCGAACTTTGCGAAAACCCTCCGTCGTGATCTTTTCAATACGTTGGATCTTTGGGCCCTGTTTTTTTACAGGCCCAGAGGTTGACACCAACACAAATATCGGCGGTGTGCCTCCACCGGGGGCCGGGGGAAGAGGATCCCGATCTCGGTGATGGTAATAATATTCTGGCTGCCAAGGTGACCAACCTGTTACCACCAACACCGAAATCTGGGATCATCTTCCCCCTTCGGAGGCAACCCCCTCGTGCTGGTGTTGGTGCCCATTTCCAGGCCTCCGATGTTTCGCGTGGGCGACGATCGAGAACGGGCCCGACGCGAGATGGCACAGCGACCCTGCGCGGCGGCGCACGCGGGCCGCCGGCGCGGCCACTGTGGAGGCGAGGGCGCCCACGCGAAGGCGTGCGCGAGCAGTTGCCGCGCGCCGACGTCGGCGCATTCGACCCCGGTGTTGCTGCTCTGGGCGCCCGAAATGGGTACCGTCGGGGTGTTGAACTAAAGAATCCTAAATAAAGAAGGAAGCCCCCTCTTTGACCTCAAACCCGCCTGCGTGGACGAGGAACGGGAATTAGAGAAACAGTCATGGAAGGACCCACTGAAAGTAAGGAACGTCGAGCCCCTTCCCAACTCGAACGGTTCCTTATTTCAGCGTCTTGGCTGTACGGAAAGAACGGGTACACTGCCCAACAACAAATGTTGTCCCGAACCAGCAGCGGCCGCTGTTGGACGGGCGGCCTTCTGTATCGAATGGGCACAGGCCGCGGCGAAACCGACAGCGAATCCTGTTCAAAATGAGTAGGAACTGCTGTTGGGCATTGTACCCTTTCTTTCCGTACCCATTCCGTTCGTGCCGTTGCGTCGCCCACGTCGCGAGCATAGAGGGGGCCCGACAACAAGAGACCTTCCATAAGGAACCCAACCCTGAGACCCCAGGACGTCCGTCGATGTTTGGTGTGGGAGCGTCACGCTTTCCATCTAGCAAGACCCTCGACACCCAAGAAACCAAGGGCACCCTGGAGGCAAGCAGGGTGCTTCTTGGCACGGGTCTCCACTGCGTGTCTGGGTCGTTTCCAGGGCCCCCCAGGACCCATCGAAGTCGAATCGAATCGGATCGGAATCGGAGGCCATCGAAATCAAATCGAATCGAATCGGAGGGATCGAAGTGAGCTCCTCCTCCTCCTCCTCCTCCGCATCCTCCTCCTACTCCTACTCCTCCTCCTCCTCCTCCTCCTCCTCCTCCTCCTCCTCCTCCGCCTCCGCCTCCGCCTCCTCCTCCTCCTCCTCCTCCTCCTCCTCTTCCTCCTCCTCCTCCTCCTCCTCTTTCCTCCTCCTCCTCCTCCGCCTCCGCCTCCGCCTCCTCCGCCTCCGCCTCCTCCTCCTCCTCCTCCTCCTCCTCCTCCTCCTCCTCCTCCCCAGGAGCAGGAGGCGCTGGCGGGGCGGCGGGGCGGGCGGGGCGGGCGTCGAGGCACGAGCGCCGTCGATGGAGACGGGCTTGTCGATGCCCTGCTCCTCGGCGGCGGCGGCGGGAGGGAGGAAACACGCGGGGAGGAGGATCGAGGATCGAGGAGAGGGAGGAGGGGGAGGAGGAGGAGGAGGAGGAGGAGGAGGAGGAGGAGGAGGAGGAGGAGGAGGAGGAGGAGGAGAAGGAGGAGGAAGGGAGGAGGAGCAGGAGGAGGAGGAGGAGGAGGAGGAGGAGGAGAGGAGGGGAGAGGGAGGAGGAGGACGGGGACGGGACGAGGAGAGACGAGGAGGAGGAGGAGGAGGAGGAGGAGGAGGAGGAGAAGGAGAAGAGGAGGAGGATGGGGAGGAGGAGTACGAGGACGATGGGGAGGAGGAGGAGGAGGAGGAGAAGGAGGAGGAGGAGGAGGAGGAGGAGGAGGAGGAGGAGATGCGGAGGGAACCAGCCCATCCACCACTAGCGATGCCCCCTCATAGCTCGCTCTCCTGCGGCCGTTCGGGACGATCTGGGCACCCCCGGAACGCTCTCGGCGAGGCGCAGCGGCTGGAACGCATCACAAGGCTGGAGAATCGCCGAGAACAGAAGAGGAGGGGGAGGAGAAGGACGAAGGATAGAAAAGGAGCAGGATCGAGGAGGAGGAGGAGGAGGAGGAGGAGGAGGGGGATCGCAAAGGAGGGGATGAGGAGCAGGATCGAGGAGCAGGATGGAAGATCGAAGAGGAGGAGGATCGAGGAGGAGGAGGAGGACCAAAGCGAAGGATCGAGGAGCGGGATCGGGCCTGTGGAAGCTCGTCCGCTGCTGCTCGTCGCTTGACGGCCTGCCGTCTATCGAGAGCGACGCGGGGAAACCCCGAGGGGGGGAAAGTGAAAGCCGCCGGCCCAAGCGTCTGACGCAGCCCGTAGCCCCCGACGGACGACGCATCGAGGACGATGAGGAGGATCGAGGAGGAGGATGCGTGGCTTCAGCCACAGGGCACGTGGCTCAGGATCGAGGAGGAGGATCGAGTATCGGGGGCTTCTCGACGTCTGATCCTCTCTTGAAGCTCTGGGCGGCTCCGGAGGCCTCGGGGGCAGACATCTTCGGCCGTGACTCTTTTCGCAGCGCTTCGGATCCCGAGTCTTTACCTAGTAGCCTGTCTGAAAGGGTTCTATATCCGCCGGCCCATCGGCATGTGTGAGACAATGTTCCATCGTCGTCGTCGTCGTCACCAAGCCCGAGGAAATTCAGGAACAAGGAAATCGAAGAGCGTCATGATCAAGTCGAAGGGAAGCCCCTTCCCGAGTGGTAGAGACGCTCAGGGCGCCCTGGGCCCGTGGAGTACCGAGGACCCGCGTGGCACGTGCGAGCTGCCGGAGCAGCGAGCGCCCGAGGCGGTGCAGTGCGACGAAATCTCCCCCGTTGATCCTTTCCCTGCCGGGGGCGGTGGGGTCCTGGGTCAGAATGCCATCCCCCCCAGGGAGTCCTGGAGCCCCAGGAAGCCCCCGGACTGGCCCCGAGTGCCCCAAGAAGCCCCTGAGACGGTCCAAGAGGGCCACGAATCGCCGAACGATCGGTCCAGGACGCCCAAGATAGCCTCCAGTCAGCCCAAGAAGCCGTCTAGACGCCCCAAGAAGGCTCCAAGAGCATTAGGCAAACTTCATTGATTGTCCTTAGGTTTCTGGCAGAGTTTGGCCTCTCGACGCTCCAACACGGCCCAAGAGGCCCACAAGATCTCCCCAAGACGGCCCAAGATGGTGATGCACGCCGGCATGCCAAAGTAAAGCAGACGGGTTCAACTCGTCGGCGAGTTGTTCAGAATCGGGGGGGAAAGCGTGGGCATGATGCATATGTTTTGGCAACGTTGTACGGCAAACTACTTTACCAACACTTGAGCCTAAATGGCTACAGACCGTTCTCGGGGTTCTCTGTGGCCGTCGTGCCCTCTTGCAAGCCTCCTGGGCTGTCTTGGGGCGATCTTGGGTGCATCTTGGCCCGTATTGGAGCGCCGCAAGGCCGAGAAAGGCGAGAACGCCCCCTTCGGCCTGACCATAAAACAGCTTGGGCACGCTCGTCTTTCGCAAATCATCCGATCGGGCTCTCTCACCAAAGGGCCTGGCTGGGCACTCCATCCCCTATAGTTGTTTGCATCCGCCATTGGCCTGTCGGCCCAAGATGTTCTCCAACAGCACTTGGGTTGGCCTGTTCATTAACCTGATCAGAACAAACAGTCGATACTTTTGGTCCTGGCGACAGCTGATATCGTCCTCTTCGCGTGAACGTTCTGTAATTTGCCACCGACGGTGCACCACCTACTCAAATTCTGGCATTAGCGTTGTCTCCTCCGACAGCTGTGTGCCTTTGTCTCTGCTCGCCATGGCAAACAGATTGTGGAACTCTCGCGCTTCGCTGCACTAGACCTCCATTGGGGCATGCTCTCTTCATCCTCCTCCTGCTCGTGCTGCAGAGCTGGTGCAAACCCCCTCCTGGCCTCGACCTCCCCATACAGTCGGGGCGCTGAAGAAGGAACCCTTCTCGTTTGGGAGGGGCTCCGTGTTCCTTAGTTGTTTTACTGCTTGCCTTCGGTTTACCTTCGGTGTTGGATCGAACATCGAAGTTCAACTTCAGGAAAAAGGGGCCTCGTTCCTTATTTTTCGTTCCTTAGGTCAACGACCCGACTGTACCTCCGGCGGCTCGAGCTCTTCGAAGCGCTGGCCCAGTGGAGCCCTCGCCTCGTCGCTCGACTGGCGCTGGCATCTCGTCCCGCGCGTCGTCCTCCTGACGGCCACCCCGAGGGCCTCCGCGCCGCAGGGGGGAATCGGCGCGGCCATCGTGGCCGAACTTCGAGGAGGATCCAGGAGGAGGATCCAGGAGGAGGAGGAGGAGGAGGAGGAGGAGGAGGAGGAGGGGGAGGAGGAGGAGGAGGAGGAGGAGGAGAAGGAGGGAGAGGAGGAGGCGGATGAGGGGGGGGGAGGGGAGGAGGAGGAGGAGGGAGGAGAGGAGGAGGAGGAGGAGGAGGAGGAGGAGGAGGAGGAGATGGAGGAGGAGGAGGAGGAGGGAGGAGGAGGAGGAGGAGGAGGAGGAGGAGGAGGAGGAGGAGGAGGAGGAGGAGGAGTAAGAGAAGGAGGAGGAGGAGGAAGAGGAGGAGGAGGAGGAGGAGGTCGAAGCTGGATCCTCAAATTTCGACCCACGAAGGCCTGGCCCTCGGGTTTCCCCCACTCCTATGATGGGCATATCCCTGGCCTCCTAGCCTGGAACCTATCCCCCTCTCGGATTGGCCCCCCCCTCGGGTTGCACCCCCCGTGGAACCTATCCCTACCGATCCCTACAGTCAACCTGAAAAGTAAGGACGCACGATAAGGATGCAAGGGCCTTGGAAGGCCATGCCGACACTTTTCGAGTGGGGCTGGCCAGCGAAAGTCGCCACGGAGGGGCCGAAGTGGCAAGACTACTAGGGTAACCTTGGGAAAGTTGCTCACCCTTACGATGCGGGCTGACTGTATCCCTATCCCACTCGGGCTGCCCCCGACCACCCTGGCACAGGTGACGGTCGTCACCTGGTACGGGCTTCCTGGACTCCGCAGCAGACTCGGGCCTCTGCCCACCTTCGCAGGCTGGGCCCGGCTGGTGTCCTGGCGACCCAGCCCACTGCCCGCGCTGTAGCCCATGAGCTTCGCGAGGCGGAAGCCTGGCGGCCGCTGGGAGGGTACCCCACGCTTGCGGCGCAGATGTCAGACGGCACGGCGCCCCACCCAGCCGATCAATCGAGACAGGCAAGCGAGCCCAGATTCGAATCGACGAGTCGGATGAGCGATCGACATGCGTTGGATCGGCGGAACTCCCGGCAGCCCAGCCAGGAGGAGTCGGATCGGCGGACATCGGCAGGCTCACAAGGCCTCCATACATGACAAGGGATCGGAGCCCACATCGGAATCCCCAGTCGACTCGCATCGGCATGTCGGAGCGCACGGAGAAAGCGCAGCGAATTGAGACGAATAGATTCGAACCGAGGCGAGCTGGGATGACAGGCTGCACCGCGACTGCCCCCGCGAGGAGAGAGCGGGCGGGTCACGGCAAGGCAGGATCAAGTCGGGCATGTCCAGGGACGATTAAGCGGGCGAGACATACAGTCAACCCGTGCAGTAAGGATGCGCGATAAGGATGCAAGGGCCTTTGACGCCCAATTCGAAGCTCTTCGAGCGGGGCGCGGCCAACGAACGTGGCGAAGGATGGACCGAGGGGGCAAGGATGCAAGGGTACACTTGGGAAGGCTGCCCATCCTTCTTATGCGGGTTGATTGTATGTTCGAACAAAATATATGTTGGCTATTGCTTGTTTTCGTCCGAAATCCCCCCGTAGGGGACATGCCCGACCCAATGGCAGGGGCGGGGGGGAGGAGGTGTCAGGGTAGGCGGTCTATCAACGACGTGTCAGGGTAGGAGGTCTACAAGGCCAAGGCCAATTCCTTAATCGACGTGTCAGGGTAGGAGGTCGATCAACCTCCGACCTGAGGGCAGGAGCGGGGAGGGGGGGCAGCTCGGCAGCAGAGCCGAGGCCGAAGGCGGGGCGACGCCACGGCGCCGAGAGCAGCCGAGCGGCCCAGGCGGCGCGCCGGCCTCCCCCCGCCCTGCGCGGCAGGGCGTGCACTTACTTCGTGCCCCCTCGTCGTCGCCCCACCCCCTCCCCCCCCTCCTCCTCCTCTCTCCTCCTCCTCCTCCTGTCCTCCTCCTCCTCCTCCTCCTCCTCCTCCTCCCTTCCTCCTCCTCCTTCCTCCTCCTCCTCCTCCTCCTCCTCCTCCTCCTCCTCCTCCTTCCCCTTCCCCTCCTCCTCCTCCTCCTCCGCCCCGTCCTCCTCCTCCCACTCCTCCTCCCCATCCCTCCTCCATCCCTCCTCATCCCTTCTCCTCCTCCTCCTCCGACGACGACGACGGCCCAAGACGGCCAAGAGCCCGACTCCGCCTCCTCCGCCTCCTCCGCCCTCCTCCCCTTCCTCCGCCTCCTCCTCCGCCTCCTCCTCCCCCTCCTCCTCCTATTCCTCCTCCTCCTCCTCCTCCTCCCCTCCTCCTCATCCTCCTCCTCCCTCCTCCTCCTCCTCCTCCCTCCTCCTCCTCCTCCTCCTCCTCCTCCTCCTCCTCCTCCTCCTCCGCCGCACCAAAGCACGCTTGGACAGGACACGCGAGAGGACATGAGACCCTTCTGAGGGCCACATCGCCACAGGAGTGCAGCAGGCACGGTTCGCGAGGCACAGGACACAAGGGTAACCTTGAATTGGCAGGGTCGACCTACGAATCTGGGCCGACGGTACTTCGGGCCCCCTCGTCGTCGCCCAGCGCCTCCAGCCCCCCTCTTGGGGGCGCGCAGACATGGATTAGCGATCCAAGGATTCGGCGCGCGGTCGCCGAATCCATGGATCGGGAGAGGTGCCCTCCCCAAAAGGCGGCTGGTGCCGCCCCGCTCGGCGGCGGAGATCCGCGCTTTCCCATGGAAGCTGGACCCGTCGCTAATCCACGCCCCCTTAATCCATGTTTGCGATCGCCTGACCCTCGCTTCCCGCAGCCGCACTCGACCCCCGCCCCGCACCCCCGCATCCTCTCTCGCACGGCTCCTCCGCATCAGCCTTTTCTCGCTCTTGCCCTCGTCCGCCCCTATGCTCCCATCCCTCCTCTCCTCTCCTATCCTCTGCTCGGAGTTGGAGGGAGGACTTCGGACGACTTGGCCCCAATCGCTTCCGTGTCGTATAGGATCCTCTCGCCTCCTCCACATCCTCCTCCACATCGTTCTGTTCCTCCCTCGGGACCTCCTCGTCCTCTTCCCCGACGGACCTCGCACGGTACGACGTTGGCAATGACATGTCCGAACCTGACAACCGGGCGCGAGTGGTATCGCACAGCCTACAGGCACAGTCAGTCAGTCAAGCCCTGCGCTCGAACGGCGCATTGGCAAATCAAAAGTTAGCACAGCGCACTGTCGCTGGACAGCTGATGCGACTTAGCATGACTGAAACATGACTGAAACATGCACTTTCATCCTATCGTGCAGCCCACGACGTGGATGACGAGACGAAAACAATCGAGAACTCCGGCGGGAAGGGGCCCGCCTTTGCCGTACATGCCAGCCATGTCATCACCTTCCCAATGGGCACCCTCGCACAGCTAAGTCAGCGGAGCCTGGAATGCTCGTAGTGGTCATTATTGGATGCTCATTCTTGGGACCTTCCTGCATGCACTCGCTCCATTCGTGCGTCAAAGCTGCGTCGAACGTCCGTCGGTTTGAGTCGACCTTGAGTCGAATCTGAGCCGAACTTGAGACGAACTGGGGTCGAGCTAGAATCGAACAGGTCCGTTAGGAGGGCCCAGGAAGGTCCCCCAAACGAGCATCCAATCATTCCTCATCCGAGCGAATCGGCATGATCTGCCAACCGCCGTCGGATTCTTCGGTAGCAAATCATGGGATCCTGGTCTACCCTCTGCATTCCGTCTCTTTTGCGTCGTTTAGCGTCTGAAGTCGATCAGATAGCGACAATTTAGCGTCGTTTAGAATCGATGTTGCATCGATGTTGCGTCGATGTAGCGTCGATTCGCAAGAGCCGAAACGATGGTACGGGAAGCTCCCATGAATTGCCACCAGAGATTCGGACGTGCCCTACTTCCGCTTGCCCCCGTCCCCCATGGCTCCTCATAGTCCCCCCGACCTGCGATTTGTGCGGTGGAAGGGCCGACATGTTGGACACACCTGCGCAGGCCTGACTGCTCCCGCGCATGGGCAGTGCGGCACATACGAGAGGGGCGACAAAGAAGAAGTAAGGAACCGAACTATATACACCGACGCTTTTTCCGGACCCGCACTGAAATTCGCACAGGAAAGCGGATCCTGCTGCATACAGGATCCTAGTGTATACAATTGTCGCTGCTTCTCCATGAAGACGGTGAAACAAGTATACACCACACCACCCCGACGTCGTAGCCGACCCTGAAAGAGTCCTGGGATTGAAACAACAGCCCCCCACTCGCAACGTATACGCTCCAATTTCCGAAGAAGGGGGCGACGCGCAACCGCAAATGTGGTCAAACAGACACTGCGGCCACAATGGGCGAACCAGGCTCGTCACAAGCAGCTAACGTCCACAGCGAAATCAATAGCGACAGCGACGACCCCTGCTCTTACGGGGAAGCAGGAGGAGGCGGAGGAAGAGGGGAAGGAGGAGGAGGGGAAGGAGGAGGAGGAGGAGAATGGGAAGGAGGAGGAGGAGGAGGACGAAAAGGGGTTCAGGAGTTCAGGAATTCAAGAACGATGTCCGAAACGGCCTCAAGAGGACCCCTTATGGTCCCTGCGCTGGAGCTCGGCCTTACTGAAGGCCTTGGGGGAAAGCCCCCGCTCCAGACGATTCAGATACCCACGATGAGTGGGGGTGACCACCTTAGGGCACTTCCTACCTAGCCCTAGGAATTGCTTATCCCCAAACATCCCGCAAGACGCGCAGAACCACACCCCGAGATTCATATGCAAGCGCATGCTATGGGAGGGTGGGCCCACCCCCCAGCAATGTGCATCCTCGCGCCCTCAGGAAGGCCTCCCAGGGAACCGTCAACAAGCACAAAATTGAAACATCCCGTGGACCTCCAAGCCCGGACCAGGGACACGGACGCGGACCCCCAACAACGCAGGCATTTCCGACCCACATCGTCCAGAAGGTGGTCCGTGGAGGGGAAGCGACGACCCCTGCTCTTACGGGGAAGCAGGAAGAGGAGGAGAGGAAGGAGGAGAAGGGGAAGGAGGAGGAGGAGAAGGAGGAGGAACTGTTGGTCATCGTGCCCACCAGCTTCGTTGGAGGGCTCGCATCAACGCAACTCTTCTGGCACAGACCAGTCGCGGCAGACCCCTGGCCTCTCTGGCGTGCTGGGGCGAACCAGCCGTGGAGCCTCCTGGCTTCAGAGCAGCACGGGCAAAAGAGAGGGAGGATGGCGACCAGGAGTAGCATGGTGTGGCATGAGTGTCGTCCCTCTCCTCCCCCACTGTTCTGCCTCCTGTCTCCGCTCGTGCATGTTTCCTCGTTCGTCCGCTCGCCGCAGCCGTTGGCACGAAGCCGGCACTCCCTGAACGAACGCCACGTGCGCTGATGAAACAACGAGTTATCCGACTTCTTCTGCTCTGTTCATCTCGGTTTGGGCTGCCAGACCGGCACAGATGACGAGGAGCTCTGGGTCGGAGCCCCGAGGATGTTCTCCAGAGGTGCACCCCTCGGACGGAAGAGGTGGGCATAGGCACGAAGCAGGAAATCGTTGGAGCCACACTGGACTTCCGCCCGCCCCCCGAGGAGGAGGAGGATCGGCGGTGGACAGATTTCCCTTTCGTAAACCTCCCTTCAGTGAAAACGGCCCAGGACCGAAACCGACGGACCTGGACCCGCAAGAAAGACGGCCGCGACGCCCTCTCGCGAACCGAGAACGGCCAATTCGCGAATCGACGTGTCAAGATCGGAGGTCTATCAACCTCCGAGAGGATCGAGGGACAACCGCTCGACTCCTGAGGCAGCAAGGCGCCCAGCGTAGCTTGGGACATGAGCATCCCAAACTGCATGCTTTCCACGGCCGGCGTGCACTCGTGTGTGTGTACTGGGCATGCTCTCAGGTGGGGCGTGTCCCACTACAGGCGGACTGTGGACGAGAGATAAAACATAGCCAAACAATCCTCAAACAATCCCCCCAACAAAAACTCAAACATCGCCCCCAGACTATCGTTCCAGAAATCATGCTTGAAACTTTGTCTCCTGTAGAGGGGCAGGCCCGACTCAAGCATAATCGTGGCTCTGGCCCGCGGGTGGGCACCGGCCTCCTGCTCCTCGAAAGCGCCGCGCCGCGGGCTGTCGTCAGAGGCATGCTGCGGCCACTGCGCGCGGCAAGCCCGCATCCGCCGCCGTGCCCCACGGCGCGCGGAGGCGTGGTGGGACGGTGAGCGTTTCCCTGCTCGGCGTCTCGACACTGGGCGGGGGGGGGGGGCCTGTTTTCCACCACCACCACCATAAGCAGGAGGGGGAAGGGGTCCTCCTCCTCCTCCTCCTCCTCCTCCTCCTCCTCCTCCTCCTCCTCCTCCTGCTGCGCTCCCGCTGGCGGGCGCACACGTCCGAAGTGTCAAGCGGCCGCGGCTCGCCCGCGGCCGCGCCCGATCGCCGCCACCTCGTCGCCAAAGAACAATAACCTGCGTCGTCATCCCATCCTCGTCGGGGGGTCAGGGAGGGCGAACGAGGGGCGACATCGACACGACCAGCCCCCCGCCATGCTGTGGTCTGGACGGGGGGCTGACACATCGTCACAGCCCCCCTGGAGGCATTGGGCCCATGGGGGGGCCCCGCCGCTCCTCCAGGGAGGCTGACAGCTGCGCCGTCACTCAGACGGCAACGCTCTGCGTGCCCACGAGCAGCGCGAGCAGGTTCACGGGCTCGCACCACTCAGTATCATGCGCCGCGTCCATGCCGTCGGCGCAATTGTCGTAGTTCGAAGGCAGTCTCCTTCGACACAACCATCGGATAATTCACAGCAGATCGGCCATGCCACGACCGCTGCCTTGAAAAGATACAGATGCCAGCATGACGGCATATATGATAAAGAAAAACCACTGCTCTAATCTCTGTCGCCATCCGATTCCTCGCCCGACGTCCTTCACCAAAGATGGAGTCACTGCGCCACTCTCGATCTTGCCAGCTCACCGTTGGTAGATGTCCAGTGATTGCACCAACCCGTCCTGTCAATATACGTTGAACGACATTGCGGTGCACTCCCTTTGCAATAATTTCATTGTCGTCGAACGAGCTCGCATGGTAATCCAATCGTCTCATGCCAAGTTATTGTACTTCATCTGTGTCTAACCAATATCGTCCAGAATCACCATCATGAAACGCAATCCGTTCAAGTGCAGCATCCGCCTGGAGCGTCAGCCTTGGTATATGTATATGCGCCCTGATGTCACCAGGGACCGAAACCATCGGAGGGGTCAGTGTTTCCATCTGAAAGCCACCTCCACGAACATAATCTGGACCACGCACTGGCGGACATAAGGCCTTAGCCTCCGAAAAACCAATCACTCGTAAACACGCAGCACCGCGTGTATCCTCCAGGTCCAGCTCATCTGCCCGCTCTTCCGACAGGGGTAACCTCGTGAGACGCATGAAATCCAAGCACCCCGTCTCTCTATACTTCAGGTGGTACAACAAGCGCTTTCGCGTGTGAAAGTTCGTGTCACAGCCAAAACAGTATCCAGATTCAGCATATAGCCGTGCGTCTGCTAGCCCACCGTGTTCTTTTGTACGGTGATGTCGCCACGCTCGCTGAGAACACATAACCGCCCCGCATCCATAGCAAATGTAGCCCTGTCGCTCGACAGGTTCACCATTCTCGGTTTGATTGATCGCGATCATTAATTCCTTCCAAACCTGTCTTTGGCAACAATCATGATAAATATCCGAGTATCGCACCCGTGCAGTGGAACACATAATGAGATATTTTTTCGGCTCGTTCCGACTGAAAGAAACCCACTGCTCAAGGGACCACTGATCACCTTTGGCACCCACTGACGACAACCATTCCAAGTCCGTACGTATCATACCAAACCATTGATCATCATCACCTTGTACCGCCAATAGTACCCGTAGTGCAGCCGGCCCCTTATTCACAACCCTCACGAAATATCGCAACCTACGTTGTCGCTGCATCGCCGACAAGTGAGGGCGTCTCACTTGACGCATGACCTGCATATCAGAAAAATGTGGTTCCGATGCAATGGTGTGTGTCATGCCCGCCACGGCTCTCAACGCCTTCAAGTAAGTCGCATTGATATGCCGCTCATTCTGATCTCCAATGTTCGTCCACACCTCCATCTGCTGAAATAACCTCGAGAATGCAAGAACCTCAATGTACCTGATCATTGATTGAAGTCGCATTCCACGTCTCGGGAATATAGCCCTACGCATGGGTCCCATCGCATATTCGTGTTGTTGCACCCTTCTGTTAATCTCTGGCCGCATCGACGCATCGAATGACACCATGTTTCCATATGTTTGCATTGGCGCTCCACCGAAAACTGAAAACCATATCTCGCACTTTTCAGCTGCAACCCTGCCTCCCCATATAGCACATGGCTAAGTTGTTCTCGACCTTGTCCACGAAGTTGTACCAACACGCCCGTCTTACCCTTCCCGTAATTCGGCCCCATACAATGAGAAACAACTACCATGTGTAGAATATCCATGGCCTTACCAATATAGTTCAAAACCTCCGAGTTGGGAACAATCATAGGCAGCATCGCGTCGTCGACGAATGTCACATCCGTGATAAGCTCTAAAATGTCCGTCGGCTTCAAAATATCAGAAACCAGGACCTCATCGTGACCAAAAGTGAGAACCATCCCCTTGTCACGAAGCCCTTCTTCCACCATCTGCAACGGACGAGTAAAGACTACGTTGAAGAGGTAGTCCGCAGTAGCACACCCAGGACGCACCCCTCGCGTGGGGACTGCCAGTTTGTCACACTGGCTTACTCCAAAACAAATCATTCTCTGAGATTCCGCCACCAATGCCGCCAAGTAAGGGTCAACGTACTCATTGTCAAGTAAAGCAGGCTTCGCCAGGATCTCGGTGGCCAATGGAATGAGACAAATGGGGACGTCGCTATCATCCAATATTCTGTTCGGTTCACCTTCAAGATGCTCAAGACGGCTGGCCAACTGACGCACCACTCTATGAAATGCAGCTTTCAAATCCAGAAATCTATATATATATATACTGCCGACCGTCCAGTCCGAGTCGCAATATCCGAAACCAGTCGTGCTTGGTGGGATGCCATCGTCGGTGAGCGCCCAGTCCGCCCACCAAGCTGCGAGTCACGTGACAAAAAAACCACCGTGAAAGACAAGCGTTCACGTAGGAATCGGTAGTGGTGCTTGGCCACGATATTGCAAATTGTCACTGCACGGTATGCCTTGTTTTGTGATGGATCACCACCGCTCTCGGCCACCTCACCCAAACGTGAATGCTTGAATCCAATTGGTTCCCTGCCTGCAAGGGAAATCTTAACAAACAATGGGTGCAGCAACCGAGCAAACTGATCAGGCGCCGCCTGAAGTAGCTCCTCCTGGATACCATCGCTGCCTGCTGCCTTACGACGAGGTCCACGTTGGAAACGGCGCTCGAGGTCGGTTATCGTTGGCACATTCGCAATGTTAAGCTCCGTGGTACGCAATGCCATGCTCGGATGCTGGGAGTATCGCTGCAAATACTCAGCCGTATCCATCACCTCCGCATCCTCCAGCTTCGAGTAGACCTGCATCCTAGTCTTGCCCATCGCCTCATCCGTCGCGAGAACCTCACCATCGTCATTGACCCGATATGGCAAGATCGATCCATCAGAGTACCGCGGATGCTGGCGTCCTCCACACCGAAGCAGCCGCTTAGCCGCCTGCCATGACTGACGATGGTCACCAAGCAGGGCATTCTCCTTGATGGACTCAGCGTATCCATCCAGTCGATCCGCTCGTTCGTTATCAAGCCTTCGCGTCAAGATCGTAGCCGTCCTCTTCAATCCTCCTCCTCCTCCTCCACCTCCTTCCCCCCTCAAACTTCTGGTGGTGGTGGTGGAAAACAGGCCCATCAAGGGGGGAGGGGGGGGTCTGGCTCCGGACCTCGGCTTAGTGCGACTGTTTGCAGCAGTGCGTCCTGCAGTGCGGGCACGCATCAAGAAACCATGTGCTTCTCGTGGGATTCCTCGTTCCTCGCGCTGCGCGGTGACTTCCCGCAGCCGTTGAAGAAGCTGCTGCGTTCAGGGTTCAGGGTGCTCCCGGTGTCCCCTCAAGTGCACCTCGCGCACGGGTTCTCAGGGTTGGGTTTCTTGCGAGGGTTTCTTGCGGCCGCGCCCGTACTGTATGGGGGAGGCTCCACCTGCTCCAAAAAGGCGCCCAAAACAGATCTACTCCATTTGGGAGGGGGGAGAGGGGGGGGCACGAGGGCCCGCGCCGATCGGCAAAGCAAGTCATAAAAAACGATCACATGCCAAGGGCCGTCTGGTAGCGTCTCTGTCAGCATTTGGAAGGACCCACCCACCCATCTGCATAATACCTTACGCAATACCTGATGCAAAATACCTAATGTAACCATTCTTGATGTTATGTAAAGCTTTAATGCTTCCCTAACCGCAATGCTTCTCTCTTGCATGCGCGTCGTTTTGTTACCCTAGTGTCCCACGCCCTCCGTCTTCGTTTGCGCAGCGAGGTGCCTCCACAAGCTACTCGACTGGACTTGACTTGACTTGAACCACACACCCTGCGTGCCGCGTCCAGCCGCATGCCTCGTCCCCTCCCCCCTCTCCTAAAACAACACACGATGGGTCCGCGTGTTTCCGAGCCACTGGCCCCAATACAAGAACAACGGGTCCACGCTCCAGAACCGGCGATGCATAATAGAAATAATGGGTCCGCGCTCCTGGGGCTACCTCACAAAAAGCAATGGATCCGCGCTCCCGAAGCCACGATTGCTCGTACAAAACTATGGATCCGCGCTGTCGCACTTCCACTACGCCCGAGGCATGCAACAAATGCCGACAATCTCGCCCAATATGCCTACAAGACGGCCCAAGATGGCCCCAGGAAGTCCAAACTCCCACCAGTCCTTTAGGGAGCGGGTGATTGAAAGCGTTCATTCTTCCGACCCCTTTCTTCCCCTTTGGTGGGGGTGCCCCGCTGCTCTTGTAACAAACGTTCTCTCCCCCACTCGTTTGGGCGCCAACCAAGGTCACTGCCGAGCCCCCCCTCCCTCACACACCAATCTCCTCAACAAACAATGCAACGTGCAAATCGTGGCAACATGGACCATGTCCAGGTGTCCCGCGATCACGTGGTACTGCCTTTTGAAGTGGACGGCTGGGGTGCAAGCATATCGCTCCGCGTGTGCAGGCCCACCACTCCTGCCACGCACCCATGCAAAGTGCACGTTGCGGCAAGGTCTTAGACCATGCGCGGCGATGCCGTACCAGTATTACTCTATTGCTTGCACTCTTATGGTTTGTCAGGGGTGGGGTGTCCGCATAGTGTGGTGTGTGCGGGCCCGTCATTCCTGTCAATAATTTCCCACATGTTCCCACTCGCTGGCCATCCAATGGTGACCCTTGCGACTCGGGTACTGCATCACGAGGTGTTTCATTTCTGCCCAAGGCTGGCAAACATGGAATCCAAGATCGCACGAGATGGCTCAGAATAGCTTCCAGCATGGCTCCAAGAGGCTCCAAGACCGCCCCAAGATGGCTCCAAGAGGCCACGGAGCCTCCCAAAGACGTCCCCGAGCGGCCAACATCGGTCCAAACCTACGGCATTCCAGCGTGGTGTCTGCCATGTCATGTTCGCTTCCGATGGGCTTCTTACGCCTCAAGCTGGCTTCAAAATTTTGGCCCAACAGAGCCCCAAGAGGGGCCCATACGGGTCCCCCCACGGCACCATGAGTGCCCAAGAGCGCCCCAGGAGCGCCACAAGTGGCGATGTTGAGGGGGTGGGGCTTCATTAGTTTCCTCCCCGTCTTGCATCGATTACCTCGAATATTGACCCAAGAAGACCCCTAAAGAGCTCGCGCGTGCGAGTGCACCAGCGTAGTGCTGCGATGCCACAAAAAGCCCTTTCTGGTCTACTCACAGCAAGCTGAAATAAATGGCGGACGCGGTAAAGAGAAATCAAGGGCTCCCAACTTCGCGCTTCGCGCTGCGCGAATAACTTCGCGCTCTCGCGCCGCCTCCCGGGGGAGAAGAGGAGGATGAGGAGGAATCGGAGCCGAAGCGCGAAGCGCGAATAACTTCGCGCCCTCGAGGGCGCCCTTGGTAAAAAGAAATTGCCACCGGACAGGTGTCGATGTGAATGCGGCCGCCGAACCGGTTGCGCGTGCAATGAAGGAGGCGTGGAGGACGAGCAGGCACGTGCGGTGACGAAAGTGGCCAGCTCTGGAGCAATGGAGCGCAGAGAGGACACGACCATGGACGTACAACGCCGGCCACTGCTTCCCTGCGTGATGCCCCCTGGCAAACACAGCCCCTGGCATCCAAGCGGATCCGAGCCGTCCACAAGATGACGACCTTGGACCACAGCCTTCAGCACAGATGCCACACGGCACTCCGCGGAGCGGCGGGGGCGACGATGCCCGCACGCTGACTACTGCCCCCGCACTCGGCACAGTGTCGCCGAGGGGCAATGTTAACGGGGAGGGGTGGGATGGGCAAAGCTCAGGGGGGAAACATCGGCTCAGAATCGGAGATACATCGCCGATTGATCGGCGCGAGGCCACCGATGGCAAAATCCGCGCGGTCCGTGGCGGGGCGGGCTATCGGGCCTACATCTGCGATAACAGGGCGCTCGGGGGTCGACGCGTCCCCCTCAGAGCCCATCCCCCCCCAACGTTGCCACTGACTCGCACGCTTCCGACCCTGACGCTCAGCGCTCAGCTGATGGCTTCCCTCGCTGTGTCCCCCCCAGGCGCCAGACAGCTTCTCCACGATGCTGGCGGCCGCGATCGCGGAGCCCCCTGCAGTGCTCACCTGGGGAACGATACGCGTCATAGAGTCAAAACTGATAGTAAGGATGCACGATAAGGATGCAAGGGCTTTGGATGCCCATACCGAACGAAGATTCTTGAGCGCGGCGAGACATCGAAATCAGTCCAGGATGGACCAGGGAAGCACGGATACAAGGGCATCCTTGGGAAGGTGGCCCTTCCCTATCATCGATTTCGACTGCATAGCATGCGGCAATCGGGCGAGTGGTAATGGGGGGGGCTTACAGGGGTGGTGAAGGCATGGACCCTACAGGGGCCCTTTAGGGCCCCTTGTGGAGCCAGCGGAAGCTCAACAGAGGCCCTACTTACAAGTTCCCTGTTAGGGTCCTTATCCTGACCCCCCATTTTAACCCTGAGATCCGACGTCTCAAAATTAACACGTGGCGAAAAACTACGACCGGAGCCCCGGACATCATCTTTCTGCGTCATCTGTGAGGGCCCAAGGCCCGACGTGGAGCCAAAGCGCCCGCTGTGAAAAAATGGCAACGCCAGGATCTCAGAGAAGTCACCCCCCATCACCACCCGTCTGAGGTTCGAGCGGGTAGTAATGGTGGGGACCATCAATGGGGGGTAAAGTAAAGGGACCTAAGGGGGCCCTATTCTTCCCCATTCATAGGCTTCCTAGATGAGGTCGGAGGATCGCGCCGTATCGCCGCTACATCGACGATACATCGGCGATGCATCGCCGATGTATCGGCGATGCATCTGTGACGACGGCGACGCATAGGCGACACAAAAGAGTGGAGAAACTCGGGCTCTATATCGAGCCGCATCGCCGATGTATCTGGGATGCGGCGCGATCCTCCGACCCGACCTACTCCGACCCCACCTGGAAGGCCTAGACCATCTGGGTCCCCCCCCTCACCACCCGCCCGAGGTTCACCGGCCCTGGACCCACCCCCGGGGTCAGCCTCAGGTAGGGCTTGTCCTCCTCCCACAGGCGGATGTTCGATGAAACAACAAAAAATACCCAAAAAATTACCCAACAATTGTCAAACCAATGCGAAAAAGAAAACTGCAATACACATAAACTGTCGGCGCTCCGCGTGGATTTCTTGGATCTGCGCTGGACCCCCCTTCCAAAGCGCGCGGAGCGCGCCAAGGCGCCGGAGGCGCCGCCGGGAAGGCCCAGTGCGGATCCAAGAATTCCGCGCGGAGCGCCAACAGATTATGAGAATGGCTTTTTCTTCTTCTTCCAAAAATGGCCCAAACATAATAGCCAACAAAACGCAAAACTGGCCTAAAACTATACCAACAATAACAAAAAACACAAATACCCAACAGTCGCCAACAAAAATACTAGAAACATCGCCCCAAGACTGTCTGTTGACTATCTTTTGACTATCGTTCGACTATATCCTGACTATATGTTGGCTATCTTTGACCATATTTGACTATCTCTGCGAAACATCGTCCCCTGACTATATTTTGACTATCTTATAATATTCCTCCTGTAGAGTTGTGGTTGCCATGACCATGGACAAACCTAACAATCCGATCATTGAATTCAAGATCTGTTTAACATGTGTAAAACATGTTGTAGAAATGTTTCAAACATGCTTTTTACATATTTAAATCATTGTTGAAACATCTTTTAGACGTCTGGATTTTTTTGGGCAGCATGCTCCTTCTCCCTCCCAGGTGGGGTCGAAGCACATGGGGTTCCGAGGACCGCGCCACATCGGCGATGCATCGGCCATGCATCGGCGATGCATCGGCGATGCACTGGCGATGCATCCGCGACGTGGGCGGCTCATCGGCGACGTCCGCGTGAAGCAAGTCGGGCTCCGCATCGAGCCGCATCGGCGATGCATCGGCGATGCGGCGCGATCCTCCGACCCCATCAACTCGGACCCCATCTAGGAGGCCTAGATCCCAGACCCCCTCGAGCAATGAAAAGATCACGACGGGAGGTTATTCTTAATTTTCGGTCTCCGGGGGCCCTCGCAGGGCCTCGGGAGCATCAGAACACGACTCGGGATGAGAAACCGGTCCCGGGGAACAGGTCCAAACCTCTGGAGGAAGACGCAATGAAAAGGTCATTACGTCGGGGGTCTGGGATTACAGTATACGTAGGGACGGGGGCGGGCGGGCGCGATAATCCGGGATGTCGCCGGACCCTGAACAACAATCTCTGAACGCCATGCACGATGGCCCACATGACCCTCGATGCCCGAGTACAGTGGGGGCCCGACCACAAGAAGCCTTCCACAGGAAACCCAGCCCGGAGGCCCCAGGGCGTCCATCGATTATTTGGTGTGGGAACGGCACGCCTTCCATGTAGCAAAGCCATCGAGACGCAAGAGACCCGGGGCACGCTGGAGGCTAGCAGGGTGTTGCTTGACATGGGCCCCCACTGCAGCAACAACTGGACCCCTACCCCGTTGGGAGGCGACCTGAGTGAGGAGGACCTGGAACATTCGGGGCAAAGGGTCGTCTCTGCAGACGTGTCGGGCCCAGCCGCCCAGCCTGATGCGACGACGGGGGCCTCAACGAGGCCACGCCTTCATCGTGTTTCTAAAGCTAATTTGGACGCCCGGAATGGGTACGGAAATGATGGGCACAACACCCAACAGCAAATGTTCTCCCGAATCAACAGCGGCCGCTGTTTGACGGGCGGCCTTCTGTCTCACATGGGCACAGTCCGCGGCGACGCCGACAGCGAATCCTGTTCAAAATGAACAAGAACTGCTGCCGGGCATTGTACCCACTCTTTTCGTACCCATGTCGGTCGTCCCGAGGGTTAGACTTTTATCCTCAAGCATCCTGGGCCTGCCCGGGGGGGGGGGAGAACTCTGCGGCATGCAACCGTCTTCGGCCCCGTGTAACACGCTGGCGCTTCCGGCGCCGAAGCGGGCGTGAAGAACACAGCCGGCTCGCCATCCTCTTCTCGTCCGACCCGAGAAGCGCCCTGTGCAGGGGCCCTGGGACACACAAATCAACAGACACAAATAACAGGACTCCCCGTATTCTCCCATATGTTCTGGGTTGTTGTTTGTCTTCCCCCCCAATTCCTAGATGGTCCCATATTTTCTGGGGAATCGAAGCTTCATTGTGTCTGTGTGCATTTTTCCCTCCTGACCCTGGGCCGCCCTGGGCGGGCCCAAGGCCGGTCCTGAAGGGAACGGGTCCTCAGGCTACGCTATATGGACGAGGCTCACGGCAGGGCCAATGAGACACCTCAGGACGACGCCGCGACCAGGGCTGAGCCTAAACGGTGTTTTTCGTTTTCGCTTTGTTTTCGTTTGCCCTCGTTTTGTCTACAATCCGCCTGTACCGCAAAGCGAAGTCAAAACGAAAACGGCCCACGAAATCGCCCAAACACCGTTCAGGTCCAGCCCTGGCCATGACCAAGAGACACCGTGGCAACGCGAAGCGCAGCAAGGATGGCTAGAGAACGCCTCACGTCCGCACCAGGTGTCGCAAATACCCGATCGGATGGACGACGAATCAAATGAACGACGAATTTGAAACCGACGAGGAATTGCACGGACGACGACTTTCGAATCGACGGCAAATTCTTGGACGACGAATTTGGAACCGACGACGACTTTGACTGACGACGAGGTTGGAATCAACGACGGAAATCTTAGATAACAAATTCGAACTCGACGACAAATCATCCTGGACGACCCATGTAATCCAAGAACGAACTGGGATGCCGACCCGACGCGTCCAATTTGCGTTTGGCTGGCGGCGTGGCGGTTTGGGTTGGTAGGTTACAATACCCGGGGCCTTCCAGAAATTGGTCGGACAATTTTATCGGAAGAGTTGGTGCGGCCAACTCGTCGGCCAGATTCGCCGCACGAGTCGTCGCCCAGAGTCGTGAGACGACTCCGTGGCATGGGCGCGCGCGAGCCAGATCAAGTCGCACGGACGCACGCAGGCCAAATCGCCCCGCCCTGGGCGCATCTTAGTGTCCTTTTGGGCCCTCTTGGAGCCTTTGTTTATGAGGCTGTGTTAGGCCATACTGGGCCCTTTGGAATACGTGTGGACCCGCCTAGGCAAGAAGGGCAGGCTATATATATTTATATTCATATATATATATATATACATACATATATATGAATATATATATATATATATATATACACGTGATGTTTTTTATGTTTTATATATTTTTATATACGTATATATGTATGAATAAAAATATACACATATACACTTGAGGCTCACGGACTGAGAGTCCGGGCGAGGAGAAACTTACAAAAAAACTAAAATGGTGGGGGCACCCCGCAGGCGGGGTGAAACCGTGAAGGCAAGCGCGCTCAGCGAGGACTACCAGCGGTCGGCAATCGCCCAGAACCCCCGTGGACTTCCGCTGCGGAGGAGGCGGGGAGGCGGAGGGGGAGGAGGCGCAGGAGGAGGAGGAGGCGGAGGAGGCGGAGGAGGCGGAGGAAGCGGAGGAGGCGGAGGGGGAGGGGGAGAGGGGGTGGGCGCCGACTGGAAAGCGTCCGCAGGGTAACGGACACCCACAGGCTGAGGCGATGGCTGCCCCCAGTGGTGGCCACAGCGTCGGCCGAGACCACGGGACACCCGTCGTCATGGCCGACCTCATTAATTAATCCGACCCATCATAGCCCACCTTCCCCCGAGAGACCCCCCCACCCGCTCCACCGCCACCACTCCCACCCCCGAAAGAGCAGCCTCCTCAAATCGGAGGGCCCTCTGTACAGAGCTGAGAGACGGGCTAGGGGGAGACGGAGAAGAGGGGGCAGCAGGGAGAGGCTCCCCGAAACCCACACCCGTGGTCGGATGGAGGCCTCTCGAAGCCCTCGGGAGCTTCCGAAGCTGCTTGTCCCGCGTGGATGGCACCTTGGACGCCCCCAGACAAGTGTTATGGGGCGGCCGCGGAACCCCATGCGGTACCACAACGCATCCAGCACGCAAGAAGCAGATCATAACACGACCGTACCTTTCAATCGCGTGACCACGCTCGGCGAATTCATGGATGGCCGCATCGCCCTCGCCCCCCGCGGAGTTTCCAGGCAAGGGGGGCGGCGGGGGCGGGGCAGCAGCCACGTGGGCCTGGTCTGCCTCTGCCGCCGCAGCAGCCTTCACAGGCCTCGCCCGAACACGAGCACGGCACCACTCCTGGCCCTTCAGGGCCGAGAGGGCGGTGGGCCGGCAAAATTTGGCGGGGCCGTTGCACGAGTGGGTCAGCGTGCTGGGGGTCCACGCCCCAGCAAGGCATGGCACGCAACGTACCTCGCCCGAAACCTCATCAAGGTAAAAGCTGTGCCCATGAAGATTGAGTCTCGGAGGGGGCTGCTGCCGAGCTACACTCGGAGGAGGCTGGAGGTCCGTCCAGCGCCTTAGCCTCGCTAGTCTGGCGGCAGCCCAAGAGAAGTACTCAATTGTGGAACGATGAAACGTAAGCTCCCCCGCGATCGCCTCCGCCATCGTCTGAGCGATCATCGCACGGGTCGAAGCTAACTTCGCATACAGGTCAGCCCATGCATTGCCAATCCAGGTGGTCGGATCCAGTCTTCTTTCTAAAACCTGTTCAAGAGTGAGGCGAGCGGGGGTCCAAACGAAGGTGGGAGGGGGGTGCTCAGGAGGCCAGCGTGTGGCCTGCGAACAAAAAAAACTCCTCCAGATGGCAGCGTACTTTTTCATGCCGCGCGCCAGCTCAGCATGACGAAAGCTTGCATGGTCGGGTGCCTTTTCATTGCCTGCAGAAGGGCGGTTCTCTCAGCTCTGCCAACAGTCTGGACAGCACCCTCCAGGGAACCATAAACCGCCCGCACAGGTAGAAGCTCCTCGTTTAGCTGGACGATTGCCCAACCTACACGCCTAACTTCAGGCGCCGCTGGGCTCTGGGCGCTTCCACCCCCAAAGACCACAGGACCCCAGTCACCCCCGACGCCCCCCCACTCCCAAACCTCAGACACGTCAGGTGGGGATGGAAGCTGGATGGACAGTTTCGGGATTCCATAGCTTAAATACAGGCCCTCAGAGTCGGTACCCGACAGGGGGCGGTGTCCAATGGCCCGCAGACCATCCCGATGAGAAGCGTGTCTCTCGCCCAAAACATCGAAATCACCCGCCAGTTCGCTCTCATCGGGGTGCAGCAGAGCAGGACAATCGCTCCACGCGTGCCCGTAGGGCCCGTCCTTCGACTGGCAGGCAGCGCAGTGTGGGCGAATGTTATTGCCCCAGGCGGCGAGACGTGCAGGCGCGGGGTAGCGGTCAGCCCACAGCCCGCGCAGCGCAGCAAGCTGCGCTGGCCTCAAATCGCGAGGGCCGAGACGGAGTGCGCGCTCCCAAACATCATGAGTGGACTCCTGCACCGGCAGATGGTGCGTCAGCCTCTGCACCTGCCAGCGCTTGATGGACCCCTCCAAATGCACCTTCATGTCGGCAGGAGCCGCGCGGAGCAAATCATAATCATGAAACTGATCGCCCCGCCAGTGATGAGGGCCAATGAATGCCCAGCCGACGCGGCCTAGCGTCAGCCAGGCTGCACCAAGTGGCCTTCAAACTGCAGCCCAGGTAAAGCCCGTTGAACTCGCCCGCGCAGCTAACCTGGACCACGCACGGCGCAGCGAGCTGAGCGAGACTCGGTTGTCCCAGATAAAACAATGCAGCCGACAAAGAAACGCAGTCGTCGCATCGAAGATAGGATCGTACCTCACCTGCCACTGACAATACAAGTACGCCGTCTTGTGCGCTTGCGGCGGCGCCCCGGCCATCGTTGCAGCCAGAGACCCTGCCATAGCCAGAGCAGCATCACTCATTCCAGAGACGCCTGCACCATGAGCAACAGCTGGTTGAGCACCCGCACGCCACAGCGCACCGAATTCTTGCGTCCAGCGACCTGCCGAAAGATGCGAATCCGTCGCCGCCTCCTCTGCAGCTCCCGCAAGCGCCCCGTCTCCAGCCAGCGTAGCGGCCGTGCCCCCATGGTCTCGTGGCCCAAGTTCCTCATCCAAGGCCTCTGCTGGAACTTCGAGCCCCGCATCAGCCTGCGTGGCGAGGTAGTGGCCGCGACAGCCCCTGATTTCGTGTGGTTGAAGCAGGAGCCGAGCACCGTCGAATCGTCTTGAAATGCCCGAACTGCAACCCCAAGCGCCCGTACACCTGCAGGGTCAGGGCCCACATACTGCACCGAGACATCATCAACCAGAGCCCGAGGCACCAGCGCCCCATGCACCTCGCGAACACGGAGCAGGGCTCGCAATGTCAGCACCTCCAGCATGCAAGCCGCGCGGGCGCAGCCTGCCAGGATTCCCTGTTCCACCTGCAGCGGACCAGAAGGTGCCATAGCCTTTGAGTCGTCTCGGCTGGCGATACATCTGGATTAACATCTACAGCATCCGAGGAGGGTAGCCCAGCACGAGACCTTCACGAAACAACTGCGATGGCCGTACCAGGTAAGATCCAGCAGTACCGTAGCGCTGAAGTGTCCCCGCAGCACCGCAATCTCGGACTCCAAGTTGCGGCTGAACGCACTGCCGGGGGAAGTGTAGCGGGCCCGATTCCCTCAGACATTCTCACACCGAGTCCGCTCCTCCCAAGATCGAGATCGAGAAATCTCTCGCCTGGCTCGACCCCATATGCGCTGGAATGTGCGCACCACGGCGATCAAGCGATGACCTTCGTCAGCCTCCGGGGTACGACACATCGTCGACCGGCACCTTTCTGCCGGCCAAGTTAGCAACTCCTCGCATAGTCTGGAGAAACAAATAAGCACCGCTAGAGCCCCATCTGGCAAGTGCCACAACAGACGTGGAGGTCTTCTTCGGAAAGGTGAGAATCACCTTCCTGATGGTTGCCACATCAATACCAGGCAAGGGAGGCCAACTGTCTGCGTCAGCTGGTGGGTCGATCGGCAAGCAGCCGTGCTTAGTCCAGACCTCCCTCCACGTCTGCATGTTCTGGTTCGCGAGCGCCTTGGGTTGTGCACCACCTGGCCGTCGGTTGAACGGGGCAATCTGGTCCGTCGGCCGCACCTTGGAGACGCGGTGTGCTATCGAAGCTCCCGACTTAAACGCAGCGCGTTGGAACCGCGTCCAGGCCTGATAAGAGTCTCGCTGATCTTCCTTACGAAGTCTGGTGGACTCTTCACCAATGGTAGTCATGAGCTCCTGAAAGCGAGTGCCAACAAAAACCTGGAGGCCTGATCCAACGCAAACTCTGGACATCAGATGGCAACTGCTGAAGAACAACGCGGCTTCGCTGTGCGTTGCGCAGAAATCTGCTGACCTCACTGAACGCCTGTAATGAGTACCGTACATTGCCGAGGCTCGATGCTGCATGACGCATTGGCCACCTGAAGCTGAGAAACCTATGTATTCAACCTATCGCGCTCCTTCTAAATGTGCATCATCCATCTGGGTGCAGTCTTATCGGTCTCTTATACGTACGCTTGAGGGGGGGCTGCCACTTGACCTGCCTCCAAACAAACTCAGGGCCCCCCGCCCCACCAGCGCAACGCTTAGCGGCAGGGCCGGCATGATCATATCGGTTGGTGAGCTCCTTCTCGATGCCACACATGTGCGCGTCCACTCCAGCAGCCAGGCCTGCAGCACCATCGGCAGCTTCAAACAGGCCTTGATCCCATTCCAAAGGAAATCGGGCACAGCCGATAGGCGCCTCCTGTGGCAGCTCCGTCGGAAGTCTAGGCACCAGCAGCCAGAGCGGATCGTCCTGTGCCGTGATTCGAAGATGCACAGGGCAGCGTGGGTAAAGGGCGGACTTTTCATCCACCTGTATGCCAGAATCAACTCTTGCTGCCAAGTTGGCGGGAACAATAAAGTAATCCAGTGCAGCCCCAGCGGTAGCCTGGCGGCAGGTGGGCGCAGTCGGGTAGAAGGGGGTCGCCGCAGCTGCCACCGCCCATCGCGTGCCAAACATCTCCGAAGGCCGGTTATTCCAGTCGCCTCCGACCATCCAGTCTATGACCGCGCTGTTAAGCTTAGCCAACGCCTGCGCAGTCTGTCAGAGGTAAGCCATGTTGACTGCACCCATGCCATCTTCAGATATCTTCAGTATCAAGGTAAATGCTGCCCACTGTGAATCCACCAGACACCCCCCAATGAACCTGTTCAAAAAAGGCAACGGCCTGGAACAACCTCCTTCTCAGGCAAATCATGGGCCGTGCTCTTAATGCCAGAGCGCACTAGCACAGCCGCACCAGCAGACGTGCCGACATCAGAATTTGCACTCGGAGTAGCAGCCGCCCAGATCCCATGCCATCCAAGATCTTTGGCCTGAGACTGCGCCAGCGGGAGCCGATCAAGCAAAAGGTGGTGTTCCTGCGCCAGAAGCACCTTGGCCCCCAAATCCACACCTGGCAAGTGCTCAAACAGAGATCCATGAGAACTGACGTTGGCAGTCACCACCTCTCCTTTGTACTTGACCGCAGTCGAAAGCGGCGTTCGCATATGAGAAATCCCCACTCCGCCATCATAAACCCCATCGGTAGACCCGGCCGAAGCAAGGCCACTTGCAGTCGATCCCCGAGCCACATCAGGAACTCGCTCGTCGACAAGAATATTACAATCAGGAGGCTCATCCGTCCTCCTGTCGCGACCTGACACTTGTTTTTTCGTGAGCTGCGTATAACTCAAGGTGGGGGGGAGATGTGGCGGCTCTCCAGCCGCCTGCCTTCCCCGAAAGTCGGCGCCCTCTGGCTCCCTCACAGGCTTGGCCTGGGGGGGCCGAGCAGCGCGCGCCTTCGGGGGGCAACGCGCTCGAAGAAGGCGCAGCCGCCCACTGTGACGATATGTCCTCAAGCTCGCTCGTGCCCCCAACCCCGACGGGCGGGCCAGTTGGGGCTCGGGCGTCGCAGCCGAAGGAGAAGACAGCCTCAAAGCCGACGATGTCTCCAGCCCAGGGGAGAAACATCCCTGGCCACCCGGAGCGGTAATTCTGGCTGTCGCCGAAGTGCCCGACCCTGCGGGTGTAGTCCATGCGGGCGGGGGGGGCGTGACTTCTCGGGGCTGAATCCCGACCCCCCCACCGCCCTGTGGTGGCGAGATGTCAGCAGGTGGGCCACTGAGCTCCTCAGGAGGGCCTATGAAGTCATCCTGGTCGATGCCTGGATCTGCGAACAGCTCGTCAAGGCCGTCGCCGCCATTGTCGATCATGTGAGTAGTATACACCATGATGCCAACCACTGCTAAAACGATCCTCCCAAATCTATGCATTATTCCGTGGCCTCTTGGCGAGCAGCGCCTGGTAAGACTCCATGCGCCGCTTGGCCTGCGCGTGAATCTCGTCCTCGGTCTCCGCAGGCGCGCCACCATTGTCCGATATGAAAGTTCGCAAATCTTCCAAATCCATATCGTCAGGTACAGGCATATTGACACGAACGCCCTCAGGTGCTGCCGAAGCGGCAGGGCCATCTGCAGGTGGCGGCTGCTGTTGCTGCCGCTGCTGCTGCTGCTCACGCTGCCGTTCTTGCTGCTCCACTCGCAGCTTCTTGACCTGCTCCGGCCATGGCTGCACATGCTGCGCACAGGCCTCAGAAAGCTGCTCCCCTCCCCCCAGCTGCTGCACAAAAGGACTTGAGCTGCTCGAGGGTGGCGGAGAAAGTCTCGAAGATGGCTGCATCACTGCCTGCTGGGGCCTGAGTAACCTGCTCAGGCGCGCGCTGCCGAAGAAGGTCCATCTGCTCGAGCTGCAGCTGAACCTTGGCTATCTGATTGGCCTCCAGCTGTTGCTTGAGATCCACGATAAGAGCCTGCTTATCAGCCACAGCCTTCTCCTCAGATTCAATAGAGGCCTGCAACTTCGCCATCTGCTGGTCCGCCTTCTGAATATTGTTGCCGATTCCATGAACCTGAGCTCCAAGCGGCTTGGCCGCATGGGTCTCCTGACGAAGATCCCGTACAGTCTTGTCAGCATCGGCATATCCAGGGACCATACTCGGAGCGACTCCCTGGACCTGCGCAACGTTCTCCAGAGAAGCCATAGCAGCCTCCGCAGCCTCGAGCACCTTCTGCTTCTTCTGGAAGTCCGACTCCTTCGGGCCACCATCCTGCTGAGGCGGTGACTGCGTGTCGGCATCGAGCATCTTGGGCCGAGACAGCTGTTGAACTTGCTTGCGGAAAGCGGCGAGCTCTCTGTCCTTGGCATCGAGCGTAGCACGCGCCACCCCACCAGCAGGCTGAGAAGCACGCGTGCTTGGGGTGGACGGCGGCAGATCGCACTTGTACACACGACTCTTGGCACCACCACACAGAAAACAAGAAACAGCATCTGGATGGTTATGCCACGGTTCACCCGTCTTCGCATGCTTGCAATACCTGCAGACCCAGCGTTTGGCCCTCGCGAGCCTCTCCTTAGCAGCCTTAAGGGGGGCGCCATGGCCGCGGCCGAGGAGCGAGAGCACCCCCCTGTGGGCTGCAGGAGGCACACAAAGACAGAAACAAAACTGTCGGGCAGAAACGCCCTGGCACTGGCCGCGGACTAGCGGTATCCACTTGTTCCCCTGCGGAACAAAGCATCTTGAGCCAAAATGGCTACGGAGGGGGAGGGGGAGAGGGAGGAGGAGGAGGAGGAGGAGGAGGAGGAGGAGGAGGAGGAGGAGGAAGGGGGAGGAGGGGAGGCGGAGGAAGGGGGGAGAGGAGGAGGAGGAGGAGGAGGAGGACGAGGAGGAGGAGGAGGAGGAGGAGGTGGAGGCCACGAGCCTGGGCCCGAGCCGCGCCCGCCCAGAGGGGGCATCGCGCGCGCGGGCTCGGGCGAGCGGGGCCATCGCCCGCGGCCGCTGGGCGGCTGACCCTGGACAGCTGCTCGTCGTCCTGGCGGCGTGCCACCAGGGGCGAGCACGGCCAAGCGGGTTCGGTCCCCAGCTTGGCACCGGCGCTTGAGGCGCCAGCGAGGGGCGGCGAGGACCCTGCTCCGCGTCCTCAAGGCGCGCAGCATTCTGGACCTCCATCACAGTGCGGGCTCACCACCTTTAGAAGCCATCTCAGAGCTGCTCGCGATGGCTCAACGTGGTGCTGGGTCTCGAGGAGGGGGGCACGTTCGTGACCAGGGAGGGCATGCTCGTGATCAGGGAGGGCGTGACCAGGGAGGGCATGCTCGTGAGCAACGAGGGCATGCTCGTGATCAGGGAGGTCGTGACCAGGGAGGTCGTGATCAGGGAGGGCATGCTCGTGATCAGGGAGGGCATCGTGATCAAGGGCGACGTCGTGCAGAGGACGCGGTCCCTGACTTTCGTGCGGAGGCCAAGGAGATCATCGCTTCGGCCACCATGTGCACGACGGCTTATGCTTTGGCATCGCCCTACTACCGAGGCCCCCCCTCAGCTCGGGAAGGTCTCGCGCGCTACCGCGAGGACGTGGCTTCCAAGATGAAGGTGCTTGCAGAGTTTATTGCACGAGCACGAGTATCCCAGCTAGACGCGTCGCACCAGGAGAAGGAGCTGGCCGTTCTCAAGTTCATGGCCTGGTCTGCGAAGCCGCAGTCGGTCCGTGAGAA